AGCACTTGTTCATAAGGAAGAAACAGAGAATGTGAAAAACTGGTTTTCTTAAGCTGGAGCAATTTTTCATTGAGAGTGTTTTAGGGTGAACCTTTTCCTTCTTGCAGTAACTGTGCATGGTGCAATGTAATAAATCAGTCACTTGAGGATGTTCAATTTCCAGTTTCACTGTATTTGACCCAAGTACAAATCAAAATCCATTGTAGTTGTGTAAGAAATACCTTCTTTCCTTTCCCCAAGTGTTGCTGCTTAACTGAAGACTGTGAATATTTTTTATTCATTTCAGGTGCGTAGCATCCAGTATTCACAGAATTCGCTTTGTGGAAAATGTTAAGTAGACACTCTGAAAATTACTGTTGCAATATATTCTATTTTTTTAATGTTACAATCATAGTATTGTCCGAATTCTGGTTCCTCTGAAATCTCTGTAAATGGAGCTGCACTGTGCTCCTCCTACGCCACTGGCAAGGGAAGCAAAATTCACTTCCAGGCAGGAGGGTGTATGTGGGGGCGTTGGGACAAAGAGAACGTTGTGTTTATAAACAAATAAACTGGGAAAAGCATATTTTAGTTAGTGACCAAACAGAATAAACAGATAAATAAATAAATAAATTTCCTGAAAACATTAAAAAATAAAAAGGAGAAATTAAGAAGTTCTGGATTTTGCTGGGAAATAAGTTCTGAGCGATGCTTTGGGATTTGGAAAACAAGCCATTTCACTTGATCCAAGCCAAGCATTTTTTTCCAGAGGTCTGTGAACTGGAGAGCTCATCTGTGCTGTTAGGATGTAGCTGAGGTCCCAAACCAACCAACCCCTTCCATTCACTTCCAGAAGAATGTGGGGCTGGTCAGAGCCCTGTTTTGATGCGGTGGCCTCTGCTGCTGTGCACTGACCTAACAGCCAGCCCAGTGTCTGAGACAGGGTCAGACTCAGCCAGGTTCTGGACCTGGCTCTCAGGTCCCTCTTGTCTCAGGTGAGTGACTTTGTGTAGGCTCTGAGAGCTGGGAATGCAGTCTGGCTTTGTTCATCCCATACACACGTTGCCTGTATTGTTCTGTTGTGAAGCACCTGCTTGAGGAGGGAGATTTCTTTTCTAAGAAATCCGCTGAGTTGTCTGTGTGCTCAGACCCCGAGCTGAGTTTTTGTACCTGCATGTGTTGTACTAACAGGGTGTACAACCAGCTCTTCTACTTCATGGATATAACCCTTAGTGGTCGTTTTCATTTTGTCACCCTTCTATTGCCCCAGTCCTGTTTTTCTAAGCAAGTGAAGTGAAGGCTTCCCTGTCCATATTGATCAGTACATTCGGTCCCTCCCTCGACCTGTTTGCAAATCCATCCTAGGCATGTTTATGAATCCCAGACAGCTCTAATGATTTCTGGGCATGGTTGTTCTTAGTGCTGAGATTTGTTTAGCATGATGAGGCCAGAAGACATGTGGATTAGGAGCTTAGTGTTGAAAGTACTGTCAATCTCTAGTTCCTACAGCAATATCTCAATACTGAGATGGGATATTACTATTTTTAAAAATAATCTATACAAATTAACTGTACAGTATGCACAACTGGGATTTTCATGAAGCTTTCACTCCATTGCTGGACGTCTTCTGTGGAAGGCAGGCTGAGACAAAGGCTTGCTTGTTCTGGGTGTGCAAAAGGAGCCTGGTGCAGTGTGGGGATGGGAAGTGCACTGGGATGAGCAGGAGGACTTCAGGAAATGAAAACAAAAACAAAGCAGCAGTGTACGGTAAGAGGCATGAAGGAAACAGCAGTGGTGCAGCTTTTGAAAGCAGAGGGAAGAACTTTGCTGGCACCTTGTGAAGAGGTTGTCACCTTCCTTCCCCTCTGTGTCTGTGTCAGGGCACTGTGTCAGGTCACTGCTGCTGTTTGCACTGGGAGTCACTGGGACTCCTCTCACCGTGGTGAAATCCCTGGAAGTGCTCAAAGAAACGTGCAGGTGTGGTGCTTAGAGGGATGTGCTTAAATGGTGGACTTGGCAGTCTGGTGTTAATGCTTGAACTTGATCTTGGTTGTCTTTTCCAACCTCTGATTTCTATGCCATTATCTTTTTGGTCCTCCTTAACCCCTTGGGCTGAATTCAGCAGGCTTGAGCAGAGCAGCGAGAGGCCAGATGGCATCACTGTTTGGGATATTTGGTGGCTTGATTTTCCTTCTGTGCTAGAGTAAAGGAGGAGTAATGCCCTGGAAGTCAGCAGGCTGGCACAAGTTTAAAAGCAGCGTGATTCCTGTCTGTGTCTGTAATCCAGCTCCTGATTCCTTCCAGCTCCATGTGGGTACTTTGCATAGGAAAAGCCCAAGGAAAACCAGCCAGTATAATAGTTACTGGTTAAGAGTCCTGAAAACCTTCTGACTTCAGTAATATTTTTTAAAGTATCATTAGTTCCTGCTATTCCACTTTGTCCATAACCATGTGAAATGGCTGAGTTTATTACTAAGGAGTCTCTAATACTCTTAGAAACCTGATTCTGTGCTAAGTCAGGAAGATGTATGTGACTTAAATCTTTGGTAGATCTGGTTTGGCTCACAGGAGGGAGGTTAACAGAGCCGTATCTTCAGTGAGCAACTGAAAGTGAAGCAAAGCAGTCCCTGTGTGGCTGCAGCAGCTCGTGATTTACAGGGCTGGATTCACAGGGCTGCTCCTGCTGCCGAGAACGCACGCTCTCCACTGCTGTTGATTTTTGAATTAAAAAAATGCAGCTCTGTACACAGCTTACTTTCGTGCTAGAGGGCAGGGAAATATAGGTAAGAGCCGTTAATCCCCAGCAGGCTGCTGGGCAGGCGAACAGACACAGATGACAAAATTTAATTGGAAACATGAGCAGTTTAACAGAAAACACATTTGTGATAATTGAGAGAGTAACATCTCCAAAAGGGAAACTCTGCGAAGAGAAACTGATTCAGAGGAAAAGTGGCCACTGGTAGGTGAGTGTGATTTTTCAAGCTCTCTTCGGGCTCGGAACTAATTTCTTAATAAGAATAACATTAGGAGGAACTAACTAAATAAGAGATTTGTTTTCTCTGTGGGGGAGGGCTGTACAGTTACTGCCACAAGTTTCTCTTGCAGCTGTATTCGGATATGTGGTAATACTTAATTTAGGTTCTTTGCAAAAGGGTACAATTGGTTATTTTTGTACATGGAGTTTTCTTCTACCTTTGTGTTATGAAGCTATTACCACCCCCACCCCCAACAACTGAACGGACTTTAGTTTTACTTTTTTCCTTACTCCTGCATTTTTTTTATGTTTGAGGTTTTTCTAAGAATCAAACTTGGACAGCAAGTATTTTGCCAAAAGCAGAGGGAACCCTTAGTTACAAAATAGTGCTGTGTTTTTGCTAAAAAAAAAATTATGGAAAAGTATTGTGGACTTAATAAGGGAGAGCACATTGCAGAACACATTTTGGTTTGAATTGGAAGAGATTCTTTTTCTTCCTTCTTTTGCTTGAAACAGCAAGTAAATGTAAATTATACAGTAGGAGCTCATTGCTGCTCTGCTGGGTAGGAAAAGAAAACTGGCTTTTATTTTCTGTGAGTTTCACTGATACTGAAAAGGATGTTTCACTGATACTGATGTGTCTTTTTAATGTTATCAGTGTGAAATTCTTGATGTTGTTTCATTACAGAAAGACTCTCATAGTAAATCTAATACCAGGTACTACTCTGTTGTTTTTTTGGGTTGTTTTCTGTGTTTTTTTTTCCAGAGCCTGCAGACAGCACAGCCTCCCAGCCCACAGGAATGAATGAAAATGTCTCATCCTCAGTTCAGGGCTGCGGCAGTGCTGTTCCTTGCAATAACTCCTCAGCCATCCCTCAGCCCAGCTCTGCTATTAAACCTTGGCGCAGCAAGTCCCTCAGTGCCAAGCACACAGCGACGTCTTCCATGTTATCCGTGAAGCAGCCGGCAGTGGAGCCTCCAAAGCCTCCCTCAGAAATCGCCAAAACAGCTCCCAACGGCCAGAAATCCATGCTGGAAAAACTAAAACTCTTCAACAGCAAAGGCGGTTCCAAAGCAGGAGGGACAACGCTGGAGTGTCCGGGCTCTCGGGACAACAGCTGTGAAAAGCTGGAGACGCTCCTCAGCTTTGAGGAGAGTGAGGAAATCGATGCCACCAATCAGAATGTGAACAATCCGGGATCAATGTCCAGCAGCCCCAAAATTGCACTCAAGGGAATCGCACAAAGGACTTTCAGCCGCGCACTGACTAACAAGAAAAGTTCTCCAAAGGGTAATGAGAAGGAGAAAGAGAAGCAAAAAGAGAAAGAAAAGGATAAAAGCAAAGACGTTACAAAGAGAACATCCATCACCGAGAAGTTGGACCTGAAGGAGGAACCTAAAGAAGAACAGGCAGCACTAACAACAACGACAGAGATGCCAAAAAAGTCCTCCAAGATCGCCAGCTTTATCCCTAAAGGAGGGAAGCTGAACAGTGCCAAGAAGGAGGCCTCTGCCCCTTCGCACAGCGGAATACCAAAACCAGGAATGAAAAACGCCACAGGGAAATCCTCAAGTGCCCCTGCTCCTGCAAAGGAAGGCGAGAGGAGCCGTGGAGGGAAGGCCAGCTCGGGGCTCTCGCATCAGAAGTCCCAGCTGGACAGCCGTCACTCCAGCTCCTCCTCCAGCCTGGCCTCCTCCGAGGGCAAGGGCTGTGTCGGGGGCCTGCACAGCAGCAGCAGCAGCCAGGCTGTGAACGGGCCCACGGTGAGCACCCACAGCACGGGCAGCAACACGGTGAGCGTGCAGCTACCTCAGCCCCAGCAGCAATACAGCCACCCCAACACCGCCACCGTCGCGCCCTTCATGTACAGGTACGGGGCTCTCCTCTCCTCGGGGGGCTCAGGGCAGTGGGCTGCCCACGAGGGACGTTCTGCACTCTTTCAGGGGGGTGGAGCAGCGAGGTAAATGCTACATCGTGGAGAAGTTTCTTGCTTCGAGAGCGTAGGCAATTCATGCATTTGATGGTGAAGGCTGTATGAGAAGTTGTGGTAGACAGGACGGGGATAATGGTTGTATCCAGCCCTGCTAGCAGGAAGGATGACAATGTGAACGCCTCCTTGACCAGGTGCTGCTCTTCCAAGGGGTACAAGAACGAGTATCAGGTTTGTTTTGAGCACCATAGCTTTGAAAGTTGTAACAATGCCAAGACACACTCGGGGTCTTCGTTGTGGCTGATGGTGATGGACCTGCCTCACTATAAGCAGGAGTTGGAAATTAAAAATAGGAAAATTAAAATAAGAATCCTTTCATTTAGGTAAGACCAGACTAGACATCTGTCGTATGGTATTTGTTAACCCCGAGATAAGGAAAAGAGCAGCCAGATGAAGTCATAGCTAACCTCTGTTTAGTCCATTTTCTGTTTGAAGCACCTTCTTTTTGACAGTGGCAGTAGAGGATACATAGGGAAGCATCCTAGAGATAATAGGGAAGTAATGAGAGGGAAATTAGTAGCAGAAATTCTTGAGACATAGCATGACTGGGACACAAGAAATTTCTCAGTCAAAGGATGGGCTTTTTGGTTTGGGCAGCCATCCCATGGAGGTTTTTTGACACTGCTTAGCTTTTTCATAGGAAGAGGATCCAAGTGTTTGCTCTGTTTTCATCATCTTCTTGCTGCTCCTGATCTGAGAGACCTTTCTCACCTCCTTCCCTTCCTTAAGATGTGTCCTTTCTAGGCTAAGGTATCCTAGCCTCTTTAGTTTTCACTTGTAGAGATTTTGTTCATGATCTTTGGTCATTTGTTGCCCTGTCCCATGGTTTTTTCATCTCTACTCTGCACATTTTTACCTTGGATCTCTTGGCAGATGCAACATAAAAAACTGGTTGGTCGCATTTTTTAAATAAGAGTGAACGTCAGTGTAATGAACCTGAAGGAAAGAGATGCCAAAGGCCTGTGTAGGAATGCAGAATGGGAAGAGCACCCTTGAGTCTTCTGGTCCCTTTGAGAATTCCCCCTGTGTATATGGAATTAAATGCCAGGGGACCTGGGAAGCAGAAATTTTTGGAGATGGGTTGTTAAGTTTATCACTAAGAGTGTCCCCTCATTGTTGGTACTGATCTTAGTCTGAACACAGATATCATCTAAAGTGTAAAAGCAGATGCAGTCCATACATTTTTTATAATCTATACATACTGATAAACTCCACACAGTATTTATTTGACCTTTTACCAAAACCAGGAATGAAACTACCTGATGGCAGCTGGAAAATTGAAAAATAGTGTTTGCTTTTCAGCACTGGAGGAAAAAAGGCCAAACTCTGTAATCGTGTTGGCTTTAAAAGGAAAGAGAAAAGTCAGATCATATTGGTTTTCAAGGCAAACATAACACATAATTATATTTACTACCCAGACATTATTTCAGTCTGCAAAATGGACTTGTTGATGCATTGCAGTAGAAGGCTCAGGTGTTTTCTGACATCAGTTAAGGCAATCTGCGCTTTTCAGCTGCTTGTAGACTTTTTGTTTGGGTTTCATGGTTTGTTTGTTTTTTAAAGCAAAGGACATAAGAAATTGTCCTGCATTTTTATAGGATTGTTATGGGCAGAAAGAGAGCTTCAGACAAAGTTTATTAGAGAAGCCTTCCCATTGAGTCAGGAGGTGCAGAAAGGATCCCCTTCTTTCCTAAACTCCTTCTCAGAGAGGAGTCTTTGATGCAGCTGGATCCAGACTTAGCACCAGACTTTGTCAACTTTGTTCATGTCTGAAGGATTGTATAGGTGTAATTGAACTTCATATAACTCAGCTGTCCTGTAGGATTAAGGATGGCAAACCAGATCTATTTATATGAAAATAAGTGATTTATTTTAATAATGATTAGACTAATAGTTCTCAATTACTATACGACAAAGGTAGCTGTGATTACTAGTATAGTATAATTCACTATTTTTGAAACAGTATCAAAGGAATTTTGTTAAAGTTATACTAAAAACAATTATTCAGTAGAGATTAATGTTATTCACCCATACCAACAACTGTGGGAACATCTGTTTTGCTCACCCTCCAGGATGTCCCCACTCAAGAGAGGGCTCTGCACACACTCCAAGGAGGGCTGTGTTAGAAGGCCTTGCCATTAAAGAGTGGGATTGGGCTTTTACAGTATAAAGTGACATCAGTCATGTGTGTCCTGGCCAGCTGTGTCAGCCCAGCATCTCTAGTTATCAGTGGTATCATTGCTGGTTCCTTTATCAGGTTCTTTACCAGCTCTGCCACATCTTCACCTCCCTGTCAGGAGGCTGAACTTTGGGGCTGATGAGCCAGGCTGGTTTCAGCATTATTCAAAAGCAGCAAGAGGCCCCTTCTCCTTCCACCACAGACAGCTCTGTAAACAGGCCACTGTTCCAGTTGTTTTACCCCCACTCCAGGCAGAGCATCGTGCTACAAGAGTCAGGTGAAATTAAGAGTATTGCAGTAATAATTCCACACTGTGTCTTCACTTTTTTACAGCACTTACCCTTGGGGCAGGAGAATTTCCAGCTATCTGCTGGTGTGGCTCTATGAGCAAAACATGGCACAATTAGTAAAGTGAAATGAGTTACAATATCTTACTCAAATCTGTCAATAGATCCTTTCATCACCTTTCATTACCTGGCAGCCATAATATCAGAAAAAAAATTGGAGTTTGAAGTTGGTTTTGCCCAGTCATTTCTTTAAAAATGGAAGTGATGCTGAAGGGAACCTAGCAGGAGTGTACCATGCCATCACATGCTCCCTGCTTTATCTTCATGAAATACAGTTTATTGGAGAGGATCAGATTAGCCACAACAACTGATGTTATTGATAATTAAAATACATCTGGAAATCCAAGTGTTTTAAGACCCCATCTGATGAGCTGTGAAGCCTGTCTTCGACTATGAATTTTTTATTTTTTACAGCTGAATGCTTGTTTCCATTTCTAGGACATAATTCAACATGGGACTAATGAATTATGTAAAATCAGTCTGCTGGTCTGTTCTGGAGAGTGGGACAGAGTGGCTGATGGCAGGTGCACTCGTCTTGTTTTTATCCTTGAGATACTTTGGATGGAGAGTGGCTGCACATCAGTGTTTTGTTTTGCTTTCCAGATCTCAGACAGACAATGAAGGGAACGTAACAGCCGAGGCCAGCACAGGAGGGGTCAGCATGGATTCTGCTCTTTACATCAAAAGTGCCCAGCCTGCCCTCGAGGACCTCTCAGGTAAGTCTTGCAGCATGACCTCTTACTGCCTGTGGTCTGCTTAAATAAGAATGGGCTAGAGCAAGTTGAATTTATTCCTAATGCTTTAGTTCCTAATAACTATATTTCTTTCAGCTCTTCAGCAATGAAAGCTGGGTGTCAATAATTGGAACTCTAGATGCTTAAGTTCAGCACAAGTGTGTTCCCTAAATTTCTTGAAATCACCAAGAATTCTGCCTGCTTAATGTTTTTCTAGGAGATGTACAGCATTTTTTAGGATTAAACTACTATAAGGATCCTAAGTATTCCCAAGCATTTAATATGCATTCTTTAGTTTTAAAAACTTCATTTTGGAGCTGACAGAAGGGACTGTGTTCATTTCCTTGATGTTTTGGTTTGGAGGAACCTCAATATCACTCACATGAATCTGTTCAGTTTGAGAAATAGCCTTTGCAGCAATAGGGCACCAGAATCCAGCTACACTCTGTTGTGTCCAGCATCCAGAAGCTGAAATTGGTTGTGGCTAGAATATGAGCAGTCTAAACTAGAAAGTACCTGGTATATTTATCTAGAATTCCTGCTACTGTAAGAAGTATATGCTAGTTAGCAAAAAAAATAAGCTTATTGATATAACAGGGTGATTTTCAGCAACCATATTCTGTTAGAATCTGCCAGATTCTGTTAATGTGATCTAAAACATGTTTTTGAAGTCACAGACTGATCTCCTCCTTTCCCCATTTGAGCAATATCTGTGATTTTGCTTACTGTGTGCTATTGCAGGATATGTCATCTGTAGAATATCTCAGTTTTTTGTTATTTTCTTTTTTTCCCATCTACTTAGTCTGTCCCCCAGTTTATTGTGGAGTTTTAAACCAAATGCCCTCATTGGAAAAGTGATGTGGCTAAAAGTTTCACAGTGAGACTAATTTCATACTGCATTGCATATTCTATCAGTGCTGCCTTTATACCTGTGTGCTGATGGCAAAGGTGAGAGGCAGAGTGAGGAAAAGGGCTGCAGGAATGCCTCAGTGAACATATCTGTGTGTACAATTTATACACAGGTGGATTAAGTACTTAAAAGGCAGATAAAAGGCACAAGGGATAAAATTTTTCAGTTGATATTTAAAGATGAGAGTTGCAAGTAACAAACACAGTGTCCAGCTGCTTAAACTTTTTCATCATTACCTCTTAAATCATCATGTTGGCTGGGCTGGATGCATTTCAGCCTGCAAACTGAGAAGTGTTTCTAGAACACAAAACATCTTCAGTCCTTAATGACAGATGTTATGTAAGTACAAACTGTTACTCAACTAGAATATGTAAGTTTTGGGATCCAGAGGCAGAAGACAGCTGACAACCTCAAACAAGGGAGATGCAAACCCCAGCTGTGCACAGCCAGACCAGACAGCAGCATCCATGAAGGGGCCTTGGGGGAAAACAGAGCAAACTAAACAAAATAGTCCCTCAGCCCAAATGAATTAGAAGAAATAAGGCACTGATACCTTCTCTCCCTGCATAGCAGATATTGATGCTGTTAATTTAAAAGTGCATATAAAACAAAGGAGAACATAGGTAGGGAAAAATGAAAGCAGAATTGTTCAAGGATGCTGCTTGCTCACGAGGATCTGAGTGATTTCAGAATTAAGCTCTAGGGGCCAACTACCCAATATCTGTCTTTTAAGCATAGTTACAGTTCAAGCAGTGGAATGTAATTTAAGTGAAAATTTAGAATCAATTTAGGTGTAAGAGTGATCTCAGAAGAAATTGGCTTAGTTTGTCTCCTGTGTGTTTTCCTAAAAAGTTACCTACCATTTGCCTTCACATCTATGAAAGAAATGATCTGTAAAAGAGCACTGACCTTTGTTAAGCTAAAGGCCTATGAATATTTTATGTTTCTTACTACAAAAATGTGTAGATCCATGAGTATAGAGAATGTTTTCTGTCCCAGAGACCCACTGGCTAAAGTAATCAATCTTGTTAGGTGGATGTTTCCAGACCAGCCAGACCATAATTGTTTGACCCTCTGGCTTAAGTGAATTGTAACTCAGGGAGATGATTTCCCAAAGAGTAGAGACAGATTAAAAGAAAAATGCTCCCATGGGCACTAAGCACTTTGGCCAGTAGTTTGTAGCACTGCTGCTTTGTAGGCAACAAAGCCTACAGTGAGTGGCTTTTTCTGTGCCACCAACCTGGTATCTTTTAGAAACATGAAATTTAAAGCAGAGAATGTAGAATGTTCAAATAACAGCTTTTTTATCTGGTTCTTCTCACTTCTGATGTGGGCAATATATATAGATATACATCTAAACTAGCAATTGTGTGGGTGCCCAGCATCCTGGCAGCTCAAAAATGCATCACTTGAACAGAGAAGACTGATACAAAATGTGAAAAGTTGTACATTTGCTGCAGTATTTTCTTTTGTCATGAGTTGTAAACCCTTTAGAATGAAATAATTTCCTTCTGTGCCCAACAGAAGCTTTGTGACAGTTTTTTGGAGGTTTTCTGTTCCAGCTTTCAGCTTGCAAAGAATAGGCTGGCACTACTAGAATTCACTTCTCGTCAGCCTCTTAGAGGATTTAACTCTATAAAGCTGAGCTGAGGTAGCAACCAAAACATTTCTGAAATGACAGCTGAGAGCACGTAAATAAATTATGCTGAAGCACTAATTAAATTATTAATTTGATAAAATGGAATTATGCTGATGCAGTAGGAAGACTTCTTTTTTGTGTACATAAACTCTACTTTTAAAGAGCAGGGCACGAATGTCTTTTAGAACAAAGTATTTAAAGAACAGGATAATGCTATGAAAGCTGTCATCCCCCAGCTTGGTGTCATGTTGTACATTTTAGGAACAGTAAGTGTGTTGTGATGTTGACAAGCGAAAGCTTTTTACTTTATTTTACCTGAAACATCACTCAGCATGGGAGCACCCACCCAGGCAGCACGGTTTAGTTTATGGAAAGCTGTTACTGTAGGACAAAGAAGGTCAAGTGAAAACACAGCATTGGAGAAATTGCCTGTGTCAGGTTAATGTTAATTTTGTCAATATATGAGATGGAAAGGGTGGTATTGATAAAGAGTATATTCTAATGAGGTTGAAAGTTAACCAGAATTTAAAGTGGGTCATATGGGAAATGACAATACATCAACACCTCCAAGGCAGCCTGTGCAATGAGGGTAACCCTGCAGAGCTCCTTTCAATCAGGATGTGATGACAGCAGCTGTGGAATCTCAATCCTAACCAGCTTAGAAACTCAGAAAAAAGTGCATTTGTGTCAGATTGAGGCACAGGTGGCAGCTCAGTTCTGTGCTGTTCCCTGCCTGGTCCTTGCTCATGGCTCCCTTTCCCTGCAGGAGAGGATGCAGAGACTCGGCGGCTGCGAACTGTGAAGAACATCGCTGACCTGCGGCAGAACCTGGAGGAAACCATGTCCAGCCTGAGGGGAACCCAGGTCACCCACAGGTGAGAGCACCCTGTCCATCCTATGGGGAACCCAGGTCACCCACAGGTGAGAGCACCCTGTCCATCCCATGGGGAACCCAGGTCAGCCACAGGTAAGAGCACCCTGTCCAGCCTGCAGGGAACACAGGTCACCCACAGGTGAGAGTACCCCTGGGCTTGGGAGCAAATGGAAACCACTCTGCTCTTACTTTATGTCTCTTACACCTGGCTGGGTTACATCCTCAGCAAAATGATTCACACTGACAGTGGGAGATACTGATCTTGTAATTTTTGTCTTTAATGCACAGAATTTGAATAATGTTTGCTGGTTATTGAGATGTATGAAGAGGAATTGATGGGCTGGGGTGTGTATTGACTCAAAGGTCAAGAATAATCACTAAATAAATGATAAATGAGGGAGGTGATGTTTGAATATAAGTTACAGTTTAAATGTTTCTTCTTACTGTTGAGTAACTTCAGTGCATTACACCTCTCTCCCCCTATGTGTAATATTTTGTTTAAATAAGAGGTGAACTGTGCTTGACCCACATTATCAAGTGCATAACTTAAATTCCTGACCAGACTTCGGACAAACAAATTTTTCTAATATTGTTAGTCATCCCCTGAATGTAACTGCTTTTTCTTTGTAAAGCAGCGTTTGGAAATCTTCAGCAATATTTAAAATATGCCATAATTAAACAAAGATTTCTATTACATTTAAACATTATGTGAATTAGATCTTTTCAGTGTTGAACAGGAAGTTTGGGAGAATAAGCTGTTTGGCCCCTGATGAGGTTGGGGTCCTACCTAATGCTTGGTGCCTTATGTTCCCCAGTCCTAAATGAGTTTATTGGGAGAATGCTTTGTGTTTTGGCTTTGCATCTGAAACTGAAGCTGAGCTTGGAAAGATGAGCTCCCAAAGCTATTTTTCTTTGCAAACTTCAATTAATGTGACATCTCTTCATGTTTTAATTACTATAACCAGAGAATACGAAGGTTTTTGCAGTTTGCACATAACATTACATTGAGAATGGTACAATGCTGTTTATTCTTACTAATACCTATTATAAATAAAAAAAAGTAGCACTTAGTTGAGCGGGAAGGGAAAAGAGGAGTTTGTGTGGGTAAGAGAAGTTGCACTGATAGATTAGCTGCAAATAAATTAGCTGCAGCTCAGCTATGAGTATTCAGGATGTAGTCTTGCAATCTGTGTACATCACCTGAAAACTCATGGTGTAGTCCCATTTTTAGGGTTTCATAAATAAATATTACCAATATTTTAAAAAATGCACAGAACTCATGAATATATGAGAAATTTATTGTTTTTTCTGGTTTGGGTTTGAACATCTTCAAAGCAGTTCATATTTCATTATTTGTTTGTTAATATAGAAAATATAATCTGAAGGAACAAAAACTGGCCTTTCTTCTTACTTTTCATTTATTCCTCTTCATGGTATTGAAATAGCTTCCATTTGGTGCTGGGCACATCTCCAGAGTGAAAATTATCATGAATGCAGACAATGAAAGGAAATATATCAGAAAAAAATAGAACTTCAGCAGGTTTTCTTTTAGTCAGCTCACTATCCCACCCTTTGCCTAGACTGGCAAAATGATGGTGCAATGGAGTTATGTGTGCTTGAAGATGAGAAAGTTACACTTTGATACAGTAGATAATTCACTAAAAAGTCCTGCTTAAGTCTTCTCATGTGTGTGAAGAGCAGCTGGTGGCCTGGGTGCAAGAGTCTCTTTGGGAACGTGGGAGAAGGACCTGAAAAGTGAAAAGAAAGGATGTCCCCAAGTGTTGTATTACAGCAGTAAATTGTTAGTGCTGTTATGTACAATCAGTAAGTTGGTGAGTGTTCAGGGCCTTGGAAGCACCTGGAATCTCACAGCATTCCATGTGAGATCCACATGTGATCCGATGTGTCTGATGCCTCAGAGTGGCTACCTAGAACAGAGGCTAGACAAGATTAATACAATAAAGTGAGTATTCATTAAAGGCCTTCATATATAAATAGCCATCTAAACTAGCAATTGTGTGGGTAACTCAAAAATGCATCACTTGTACAGAGAAGACTGATCTAAAATGTGAAAAGTTTCACATTTGGGCAGTCAAAGCCTCTGAGAGGGGCTACACCCAAGATGGGTAGTGGTCACGAATTTTTCAATTATAAGTTTGGTCCATTTACATATCAGGGTTTAATTCTCCAATTACAACTTCAGCTAATGAAATCATACACCTCCAATTTGCCCCATCCCAAGTCACTTTTGGTTATACTTTTCGGGGCCTGAGGCTGTAGGGTATCCTTGAATTTCATGCCTGGAGGGATTGTTTTGTTTGACCGGCATGTGAAGGGAGGTAACTAACGCTCGATATGGAGTTCATACACTAAAGTATACACTTTATGAGTATACAGTATAAGTATATAAGTACAGGATTTGAAAATATGAAAAATAAGATCCTAAGGCGTCGCGTCTCTCCTTCGCAGCACCTTGGAGACCACATTCGACACCAACGTCACCACCGAGATCAGCGGCCGCAGCATCCTGAGCCTGAGCGGGCGGCCCACGCCTCTCTCCTGGCGCCTGGGCCAGGCCAGCCCGCGCCTGCAGGCGGGCGACGCGCCCTCCATGGGCAACGGCTACCCGCCGCGGGCCAACGCCAGCCGCTTCGTCAGCGCCGAGCCGGGCGCCGGCCGCTACCTGTACTCGGCGCCGCTGCGGCGGCAGCTGGCCACGCGCGGCGGCAGCGTGTGCCACGTGGACATCGCCGACAAGGCCGGCGACGACGGCGACCTCGAGGGCATCGCCATGGACGCCGCCGGATACATGAGCGACGGCGACGTGCTGGGCAAGAACATCCGGGCCGACGACATCACCAGCGGGTGAGTGATGAGCGCCCCGCTCCGAGGGGATCTTCCCTGCCCCTCATAGCCCTGTGCTGGCGCTGTAAGGCTGGGGAGGTGAAGATACACAGCAACACACATTCCTTCTCTTCTTCTCCTCCTCTTGGAAGAAGTGGTTTATTGGAGAGGCAGACATGTTTTTATAGACTTGTTCACAGAACTGAAGGATAGAACAAGCTCATTGGTCTTAAGGAAGGCAACACTTCTTGTTAAACACACTTCTACCAAAACATCACGTTTGTCACGCACTTATCTTGTCAACAACACCAGCAACAACAACTTTGTTATTAGTTCTTTCCTTTCTGTTTCCCTTTGAGCGGCTTGGGAAAATCAGACTGCTGTTTTTCCCTGACTCTCACCAGCATCCACACTGTGTTTCCATGATTACTTCCATAAATAAGACTCAATACCAAAGATATTTTAATAAACCTTTGGAGAGACAGCTCATTATCACAGAGATTCAAACAAAACTCAGTTTTTTAAGTGCACATTAAGGAAATATCCCTAGATATAAAAATATGTGATTAGACGTTGTCCTGAGTCAAGACTCATCGTGGTTGCAACATTGATTCATGCCCACGAGATGGAGGGAGTGAGGCACGTTTTGTTCTCAGCTGAATTGTTTTGCTGCCTGAGCTTTGAGGCCAGTTCACTGAAAGGAACTGAGTTCACATCTCTGTGTTATGTAAAATAGTGATTCATAAAAAACGGTTAAAGAACAAGTCAGTGTGCAGAAATATGAAGTGATAGACAATTATTAACATGGTTTTACATCAGCATTTTATCTCTGCCTTGAGTGGAAAAAGGATTTGTTCTTTGGTCCAAAGTCAGTATTCAATTTGTCTACTATAAAAGTAATTTTTTCTTAGCCCAATCATTGGATTGATGTTTAAAATGATCTTTCAGATTTAAATGGTTTGGTGGGGTTTTTTTTATTTGGTTTGGTTTTGCTTGATGTTTGTTTGTTTCAGTTTGGTTTTGGGGTTGTTTGTTTTGGGGTTTTTTTTGTTTGTTGGTTTGTTGGTTTTTTTTGTGGCAGCCCTGTCTAGCCATCTTGCATCCTTTGCTTTTTTGTTTTTGTTTTTTTTATTAGTGACTTTTCTAGTGGCATTGGCTTTTTTGAAAGGTATAATGTTTTTTACTGGAATCCAGCTGCTGCTTTGTCATTAACTTAACCAGTTCAGTTATACCATCTGGAAGCCTCCAATAATTCTGTCTGTTATGAGTATTTGGATATTTTCACACTTTTTGAAAAGTCAGACACTTTCTTTTTAATGGTTCATTAGGGAAGCATATAGTAAAGTAGCTGATGCAAAAACCAGTGCAAAATTCTGTTTCAGATAAAACACCAGTAGCTGTTGCTGCATTAATAATGCATCAATCACTAAAGCACCTTGTGTTTTCTTCATATAAATCAACTTACACCCGGATTTTGTACTGTTTATTGTAGTACCAGTTGCTGGTTTTTCTCTGGACTATGAATTCTATTTAAATTTGTGGCTGTAGTGTTGGTCTGGAAGTGAGGAAAGTAAATTCTAAGTAGCACCATGGTTTCCATAAAATATCTTGAGTGGTAATTGAGAAATACCCCTGGCAGAACTGTGTCAGCTCAGCCTTCTGTTGCTCAGAGCTGAGCCTCAGTCTTTGCAGGTCTTTACTTAGTGTAGAAAATTCAGATTCCAGGTTAAGGGAAAGGAAAAAATAGAAAAGCTGTCAAATTTCTGACTGATATAGGCAGAGAAATCTGTGCCTTCTCTCATCTCTGTGTATCGTTTCCTTTTCTGTGTCTGGTCATCCTGCAGGGTAAAAACTTGAATCTCCATAGTCTGAAGGTACAAGAGTAGTGTTTAGATTCTGGGTAAGACAATGGTTTTGCCAGTTGGTACCTCTGTCACCAAGGCAGTGAGTTATATACCAAGAATGATTAACTTAGAAGAGTCATATACTCTACCTCACCTCACTCCTGGCCTTGAGCACTGGGACATCTTTAACTGAGTATCTGACTCTTTTCCCCACTAGTTTTTAAAGGAGTGAGATACTTCTCAATTTCTACTTACATAGTAGCCACATACTTATAAATGAGATCTCAATTTAAGGTTCTTGGACAAGAAGTGTGTACAAAAATATTTTTCACATCTTTTGCCTTTAGCTACAGAAGTCTGTTTTGTTAAATAGTGTGACTTGGTTTATCAATACAGCACTGTTGGAGTCATTGACTAAGTTCCAAGGAGAGAATTGGTATTGTAGGTCAATCCATTGGAAAGCTGCAGCTGCATTTGGAGGTTTTGGATGGGGTTTGGAGATGGGCAGTTTGGGGCTTCTCTCCTTGCTACACTCGTGGGCATTTGGAGGGACCATTGCTGCAAGCAGCCCCACAAGCCTGGGCTTGCAGTCTATGGATGGTAATCGTGTGAGTGGACTCCTTGAGAAGGGACTATTGCAGTATTAAATTGCAGCATTCCAATATTAATGGAGAAGGATAAAAAAATAAGGTTATTACCTTTGGTAACACCTAATGACACTGGGTTGCCATCTCCAGTGTGAACAGATGTTTGGTAGCCTGTTCTATAAGTTGTGTTCCCCAATGTCTGTTTAATTCAAATAGTAAGAAAAAATAGGGTGGCATTGTGTTTTTGTGAGAGAGGAATAATAAACTGCTTAGAAGTCAGAGAGGTTGCTTCTAAGGAAAGCATCCATGTGACTTGCTGCAGAACAAATCACCAAGATCAATGGTAGGGCAAACAGGCTCAACATTTCCAGAAGCTGAGCTACACTATGTGCAGAGCAGCACAAGAGAGTATTTAGAGCATGAATAGCTCTTTATTAGCTGGTATGTGTTTCACTTTGTCATTTTTCAGAATTGCTACAATCCCAGAGTCTGAAAACCTTGGATCTGTGTTTTCATTGGCAAACTGATAGGGAAGGAAGCCAAAATATTTGTTACAGCCAAAATAAATCCAATAGCCAAGAAAAACTAGTTTACCCTGTGATCCTGGTGCTTTCTCTGAAATGTACTGGGTCATGGGAAGTTTCATTTGGCCTCCCTTAATGAGTCTGCTCAAGCAGAGCTCTGGCAGACACCAGGATTGCTTTCTTAGGGTTAAGGAGGAGTATCTTTGCCAAAGGGGCAGGGAGCAGCTCTTAAACTTAAGCAAGTCTCCAGGGGGTGGATCGAAGGTAAAAAGTTGCCTTTTTGCAGGGTCTAAAACAACCCAGTGATGAAACAACAGGAGTAGGATTTATGTGAGCTGGGAAGTGAGTCCCCAACCCACTCCTTTTGGTGACTGGCTCAGCTGGAGGCTCAGAGCCTCATTGGAAGGTGGCACTCCAGAGCCCAGAATTGTTCCACCTCTCCACCCCAAAGATTGTCCCAGGTGGGGATGTTAATTCTCGTGGATTTTTTGCATTTGTTCAGAAGGGTTTTGTCCACTTCAGTCTCCCTCTGGCTACTAACATACACATTCCTACCTTTTTTTTTTAGTCTCCTTAGCCCCAGTTTTTGCTAATGAGATGTAGACTTAATTTCCTTTTTATCTCTTATTGGAATGCAGTAACAGGGCTGTTAGTCCAAAAAAAAAAAGCCTTGTATATTTTCTGTTCATTTAATTAATCCTCTGTCCCTGTTTTCATTACCTTAAGTGTGAAGCTTTCTATGTGTGGATATACTGACTTATTGCTGGTCACAAGTTTTCTCAGGAAATGGCTTTGGGTCTGCAAACACACCTTTGTCAAAATAGGTTTCTGCAGAAACATGACTGTTCCAGCTGTGTTCCAGCAATGGTCAGGGCACTGTGCTAAAATTCTCCTTGCAGTCACCTCCTGTGGGTGCAGTGGTTATTGTTGCAGGGATACATTTTACCATTTTATTAATCTCCTCATATTTGATGATTTGATGGTGATATATTCCTGTTCAATATCTCTGTTTCCACAACCTCTTAATGTGTTAGCATGCACAATCCTCATGGGGTTATGATTGCTTCTTGTTTATTCAAACCTTTATGCTCCCAGGGAATTATTTTACAAGCACTGGAAGCAGCTGGATTTGGAATGTGCATGAAGGATGCTAAAAGGGAGAACAGGCCACTTTGATTTGGGGAATCAGACTTTGTCCCTGCTTCTGCTCAGGTCTCAAACTCACCCAGAAGCACTGTGCCCTTCGTGGACCAAAACCATCATTGAAATAGAGTTCTGAAATAAGCTTACATTTATGAGTTACATCTGATGGGAAGCTAAAAAAGAGCTGAAATTGAGGACTGATTTCACTGAATGTTGAAGTGTAGTTGGTATTTGTAGGATTCTTGCAGCTGTTTCTCGGTTTTGTGCTATTTATCAGTCAGCCAGTGACGCATTTTCCTCAGATGTCAGGGTCACAGGTGCTGTAACAGACCTCCCCTAGGGCTGAGGTTTCACAGGAGGAGGACTCTGCAGTTTGCTGCTAATGAGAATTTGTTGATGGTAACAGCAAGTGAGAGAAACCCTTTCCTTCTAAGCTGTCTGCAGCAGGAGTGTTTGCTGCTCCAGGTAACTTGTGGCTGGCTGGAAATCAGGAGTGCATGAGCTAATCCTGGGCTGAGACAGAACGTGAGTGCCCTGTGCATTGATTCAGTGCTCTGTCTTAATGGCTTTTCTGACCTATTTCTTTCCATAGTTATTACCACTGTATTTTTTCTGTACACTTTGTGTTACAGTGTATTAGTCATTTACTGGACACTGCTCTTTAAATGATATGGTTTTAGTGATAAGGTTTCATCTAAATACAGTGGATGGTGAAACTGCATTCCTTTTATGGCTCTAGCACTTCAACATGACAAAGACTCATTAGGAGGTTTATTTTTCTTCTGTGTTTGAGCAGAGTGTTTATTTGAACTGCCTTTCATCTTGCTAGGGCTGACTATTTCTACACTGTGATCTTTTCAACATTGCAGAATAGTACCTATATATGGTAAATGGATAATTAACACAAATAAGGAAGGGGTCAG